TAAATATTACATGTACACAAAAGTTTGGGGTCAGTAAGATTTTGTAATATTTTTTTAAGTCTCATGCTCACCAAGGCTGCACTTATTTGAAAAAAAAAACAAAAAAAAAAACGTATTTTTATGTACAGTTTTCAAGGCATCTGTTTGTATTAGTGATGCTTGGATCATGGTTATATCCACAGATAATCTACGGGTTGGGCGTAATAGTAATAAAAGTTAAAAAAAATAACATTCTGATTAGTTGCTGGTGGGTCCCATGTTTAAAACGTAATTATTAACTATTGCTGCATAATTATCAAAAGTGGTACTGTAATAAAGTAATTTCACGTCACCATTTCGCTTGTTTTTGACCTAACAGCCAACTCTTCACATAACAGGGCCTGTAGGTGGCACTTGAGCTTCATTTAACCGACTAAAGGCCCGGGTATACTTCATTTTCCGCGTTCCGTTCCGTCTCGCACAGCTTTCAAAGTATATTCAACCGCGGATGAGAGCGGACGGACGAGCTCGACACAGACGCAGTGCCACCTACTTGACTTGCGCTCTGTCTCAACTTTCACCTAGCACATGCGTTGTTGTACGCGGACCGTCCGCGTGGTCTCAAAAAATTGCCTGCATGCGGACGGGCTGCGCGGTTGTCCGCGAGCCCTCCTGATCACGAAAATGACGTAATGCGGTAATACGGTGCGCGGACGCGGACGGCCGAAGTATACTTTGTCCTTAAGATAGTTTCATCAAACAGTAAACGGTATATCAGTATGCATGTAAGGTATGTAAATAATAGTAAATTAAACACAACTTTCAATTAATACGACTTCTATTTTAGCCATTTTAGTTTTAGCAAAACTGAAAACAGTGTCTACATAGTTTTCAACCAATTTATGAATAAAGGCCCGTTCACACCAAGGACGATAACTATAAAGATAACGATAAATATAGTTCAAACAATCGTTCTCAGTATTAAAAAATAGCAGAGTCCACACCACAACTATAACGATAAAGACAAAGAGAAACGATATCGTTGGAATCACTTTCAAAATGATTTTTCTCCAGCTGATGAACGATTTAAAATTGACAGCCAATCAGAATCCATCCTGCT